CATGGTCATCAACTGCAATCCTGTGTTCTGTATCTGATATTCTGTCTTCACAGTGACTCAGTCTGTGTAAATACTTTCAATGGAGTTTTTCATCTCCTAGATATCTGTTTGAATCTCTTTAATGGATTCCATTTCTTTCCTATATTGGGTGATCATGGTTTCCATTTCTGTCTTATGTTGGGCATTCATGGCTTCCAGCATGGTTCTGAGCTCATCTATTTTTTTTTTAATCTGTTTCTGTTCTAGAGCCTCTAATCATGTCTTTCACTCTGGTTAGTTATCTGGGAAATTATTTCTGTTTTGAATTTTTCTAGAGCCTCATTCATCTGTTTCGTTACCTCCTGTGCTATCAGTTCAGGGTGTCCAGGTGGTTGATTATCAGACTTTTCCTCCTCGTTTTCCCCAGAATTTGCCTTTGGTGGGCTGGAAGTCTGGGTTTGTGCCTTGTTTAAATGTCTTCTCATTTTTGTTTTTGGTACTGTCCTTGGTTTAATGCTTCAAAATTGCTTATTGTAAGTATCTTTGTTGCTTGTATTTAGAACACTTATGGAATGATTGCTTCTCAGAGGTGTCTTCCAGATCTAGCTGGTCTTTAGGTTTTGAGTCTCTAATGACTCTGAGGCTATCTCATTTTCATTATACTGGGAAGGACAACTGATTAGATCAATCACAACACCTTAGCCCAGGTGATACAAACAGCAACACCATAATATCAAGCACAGCTTAGAGAGTGACAATTTGTGGTAGTTATTAATCTGTCACCTTTAACTGTGTGAATTAAATCAAAATTGAGGACCAGCCCAACATGTTTATAGTGAATAGGCTCTTCGATATAGCAACTTTACCCTTTGGGATGGAGAGTTAGAAGGAGTTGGGAAGGGAGGGATAGATAGGTAGATGGATAGGGAAAGGTTAGCAATGAGGCCAGAGGACACAGGAAGATCATGCAAACTCTAAGAAACTGTTAAAGACAAGAGGAAAAGACAGAATGAAAGAACAAAGATGAGAACAGAGCAACCTGACATCAATAGGGAGGCTAGAAATTGTATTTACTTTCCTTTAAAGCTAATGACAATCGAGAGAAGGAAAAAGAGAAGAGAAAAATAAAGAAGAAATCTGAATTAGTGCCAGAAGCAGAATAAAAAGGGAGATAAAGAACAATGTGGGCCAGCAAGAGAATGAGAAAGTGAGAGTGAAAGAAAAAAGAAGAAAAAAGAAAAAAGTTGAAAAGTAGAAAAAATAAAAATTAAAAATAAGAACAAAAAAAATTTTGAAAATAAAAATGAAGGGCCTCCTTCAGGGTATGTCTCTGCTGTCATGATAGACAACGTGGGCAGCAGTGTGTAGATATAAGTCAGTGAGTCTCAGCAAGCCAATAGCAGACCTGTGAGATTGAGGCAGATTTCTGGCTGTAAGTCCCAAGTTGAGCTCCCTGTCCTCCTGTAGGGTTGAATTCTGCACAGTTTTTCTGCAGGTTTTAGCTGCAGAACATAGTCCAGGTTCTGATGGGAGGTGATGATCCCTCCAACTTACCAAGTATGGTGGTCTGGTGTGCCTTTATTGCAGAGATTCTCTTCACTTTTCTAGTGGGCTTCAATTTTCATCAAGGAGCCTAGAGAGGCCCTGTTTCTGTTGTTCACTTCTGCTCTATCTTCTGGAGCTCAGGACAATGGCCTTTGTGACACCCTGTTCCTCTGTAGTGTGGAACCAGGTATTGGCACAGCCAGGAAGCCAGAGGCGCCTCCCCCCTTTTTTTAATTGCTTAATTTTGGGATTATCTTGGCAAGATGAAAAATAATTGGGAAAAGGCAAGTGATGACTTGATGGTCCAGATTACTTTTGAAGTATTTCCAGCTACACCTGTGGCCCCTGCTCACAATCAAGAAGGGCAATGAGTGTCTTTGTTATTTTCTATAATGAAAAGCAGAAATTTGATGTCTGAAAATTTATGAATGGCTTACAATTTCTGCAATCTGTATTTTTTTTACTGGGTAAAAATAACTATATAAAATGTATTTCTTAATCGATAATGTAAAATAGGAATAAAAGGTCCAAAGGGGTAGGGGTAGTGGGAGGCACAGGGGAAAGGAAAGAAGGGAAAGGAAAAAATGATGAGAAATGGAAAAAATGGAAATAAAGTCTTAAAAAAATGTATTTCTTGTCTCACTTGCAAACTATTTTTTCCATATACTATGCTTAAAACAGAATAGTAGTTGATGTTAGCAAAATGAAAGGAAATATATTGCTTAAAATGTATTGCTCTTTAAATATTGTTTCTTTTTATTAATTCAAACCAGAAAAGAAAAACATGTTTCTTTCTCCACAAACATATATTTAAACCTGTAGTGTAATTGATGGCAGATATCTTCAGATGAATTTTTTAAAAGAGCCCTAAACTAAGCAGTTTGTATGTCTTATAATTGGAAAATGTGTGTCATTAAAAAGCCATGTCAGTATTTCCATAGGAATCTCTTAATTTGTAAAAAGACATTATAATTTTACACCAGCCCAAATCTTGGCCAGAAGTAGTGAATATGCAAAGGATACAAAGCCATCAGCAGCTGGCATCTCAGGAAGAAAATTCCAAGGCTGTGGAAGTTAGGTTTTTCCTAAATATTACCATTACTTCTTTCCCTGAGTTAAGATTGCAATAGCAATTGGAGAGGAAAAAGATTAAATTTGATGTGTGGTGGGGATGTACTTGTTATTTAAGGAAAAGGAGATGTAACAGGGACTTACTTTTCATTCTATTACCTGCAGGTCCCATATATGTGGGACCTGGAGTTTATTGTTCCCATTGAAGAAAAAATGCACCCTGGACAGTCATTCTAAGCTGAAATGATTGAATCAGGGATTGTAGTCACTTACAGCACTTCTAGTTCCCCTATTGCTTGGGGTGACCCCACTTCATTTTATATTGTAGTGCTTTTTCTTCATTAGACTATTGAACATGGACTTCACTTAAAGAAAACATTTTTTTTTACAAACCTTACAAATCTATTGACTTAGATTACTTTTACTATAATCTTCTTTGAATGTACGCAAGCATAAAACTGGGTATAACTTCTTTATATTCCTATATGACTTCTGTGTTTTCAGATCACAAATTTACATACTGAATATATATAAAAACTAAAAATAGTTACATTACAACCATTAATCTTATATAGCAAACAGTTTTGTGCTAAAACCAAATAGCTAATTTAGATAGCCTGGAATAATGTTCTATATCTAATCTATTTTTATATTTTGGCTTTGGATACAAGCAATGCCTATTTGCTTAATAGTCTTAGTAATTCCGATTTTATCAGTTCATATAACCAAAACTCATACCTAAATTCTACCAGCCGAGTAATTCTACAGTGACGATTTCACTATTTTTATATTTATTTATTATTTTTGGAGACAGGATCTTGCTGTGGGCCCAAGGTGGCCTTGAGCCTCCTGAGTGCAAGTGATCCTCCCATTTCGGCCTCCAGAGTAGCTGATATTACAGGCATGCACCACCACATATGAATTATTCTAGTATTTGTAAAAGTACTTTTGTTTACTTGAAAGTAGTATTATTTAAACCTGTCTTAAACAGTCATCTAATCCAATGAATCTTTTACAATATTGTGAATGTAGTAGTAGAAGCTGAGACTTACTTAGTATGTATGATGTGCCAGAATATTTGCTGGAATTAAATTCTTTATGATGTATTTACTACTCAGCACACTTTAATGACATGTAGCCTGAGGGAAGGGTCCAGGCAATAGCAGTGCAGTAGAATTCTCACTGTTTGAGGCAAGTGCTTTTGAGTTTGGCCTGTTTGTGCTATTGTTTGCTAGTAACAACTCAGTTCTCCCCACACTCTCTTGAAATATGACTGCAGCCAAACCAGCATTAGTAAAGCATGCTATGATGATTTTGCTATATCTTTGGTGATCAAGTACCAAAAGAGTTTTGGGTGCTGAAATTAAATGATTGTATTGAGTATGAACAACAGTGAAAACTTCTGGTGAAGAACTAATAAAAATAAAAATATACCTACAGATAACAGCTGGAGAAAACTGACTGTAACTTTCTTGAAAGCAAGCACCATATCTTAATGGTGTTTTTCTCCTCCCTGCCTATGTAAGACACAATTTCACTTGGTGATATGAGTATCTTAGGAAATGAGAGATGTCACATTCATCAATGTAGGCATACATCCGTCCCTTCAGCTCAACAAAAATATTTCGAGGATTATGTGAAAGTATATAAAGCAGTAGTTTAAAACAGGGTCTCTGGACCCTGATTATCTAAACTTGAAACCAACTCAGTCACTCACTAGCTGTATATCCTTGGGTAAGTTATTTTACATAGTGTGCCTCTGTTTCCTCATTATAAAATGAAAATAATACTGACATCTACCTCATGTACTTGTGAGAATTGTAATATGCTTGAAATAGTTTCTGGCACATTGTGATACTTAATAAATGTTAGCTACTTAAAGATGCAACTAGTCTCTACCTTTAGGGACTTTTAATCTGTAGTTGAATTAGTATATAGTATAATTATAATGTAGAGTGGAAATGGATAAGTATTTAAAATCTATAAATCTAGTGTAAAAATAACAGCATTCAGAGTACAAGAACTTAATTTTTAAGAGGGAAAAATTAGAGAGAGTAAATAAGATATTTGAGCTAAGTTAATTACTAAATGATCTTTATTCCTGAACCAATAATATTCTAGAATTCTGGTGGGGGCCTATTTTGTCCCTTAAGATTATGTTTATCATTGGTGATTTATAAACACTTTAAAAAGCGAGGTGTGCTACTACTTATTTTAGTCCTGTATCTTTTTTAGTTGGAGGTGCTTTAAAGCTGAGTAATTTATACTTCTCAAGGGAGATGAAATATATAGTTTTATGTCAAACTCTTTTAAGTACTAACTTATAATTTAATTTGCAAATAATAGCATATTCCTTAGCATAGGCTGACCACGTACCATAAATTTGAATATTTTGCTTGTTTTAGGGGTTGAGTCCTGGCTGTTATGATACCTATGCAGCAGACATAGATTGCCAGTGGATTGATATTACAGATGTACAACCTGGAAACTACATTCTCAAGGTAGAGGTCATTAAAAATATGTAATTATTTAATTGCAAAGCTACAGGCCTGTTCTCTGGCTTCAAAGGGTAAATAATCATTTTCTGGGGAGCAATTGTATGTCCTTCAGGATGATTTCTAGGTAAAATGATTTTATTTTAAATAATTTCAAGGAAAATAACAGTTTCCTTCTATCATGTCTCCAGAGTTTAACTACTTGCTTAAATTATACTCCCTTCCTTGCCTGATTTAGCTAACTCCTTTGTTAATAATTCCCTTGTGGTAGCCCTTTGGAAATAGAAAGTGACCAGTATACCATATGATGAACCTTTAACATAGAAGCTGCTTGTGTTGCTCAGGTCAGTGTCAACCCCAGCTATCTGGTGCCTGAATCAGACTACAGCAACAATGTTGTGCGCTGCGACATTCGGTACACAGGACATCATGCATATGCCTCAGGCTGCACGATCTCACCGTAAGTTTATTTGGCTAGCTAAGTAATTTTGTTTATAAATAATTTTAGTTCATAGCCAGGCATTATACATGGTATGTATCTGTTTCTACTGCTGTAGCTTCCATGTAAATACGCCAAAGGTAAAAATTGCTGTGTAGTGTGCACTACCAAAAAGCTTGTCTTTTTTATTTTAAATATTGCTAGAGAAAAGAGGATGCACCAAGGTTTTAATCATCCTAAAGCTTAGTTTTCAAGATGAGATACACAGAACACAGTGTTTACCCGGAAAGCTAGTGTGGAGGCCAATATGTCAGACTGCTCAATATGAAGTGGGGGTGTGCTTGTAGGAACCCAGCGGTTGTCTTTCCTGCCTCTTCCCCACCCTCCCCGAAGGAGTGCTGAAGAAATTCCTAAAATTTAAAGCACATTTTGAAAATCACTTTTTAAAGAATGTAACTGAAGAGAGCATGTCTCCTGTTCTGTAAAAATGCAGATTTCACATATTTGACTTCTAGAACCACATGTATTGAGGAAATATCCTAAAAAAGGAAGGGACATGTGGAAATTCCTTCAAAATTTCCGTGGTCCTGAAATACTTTTTTGAATGAAATCTTAGAAGGAATTCCACTATATAAATATTAACCAGGAGGTGCTTTGATAAAAATAATTAATGAAAGTTGGGTAGGCTTGCCTGCTTGCCCATCTGTCTTGGCTCACCCCATAAACACTGCCTGCTGTGTTGTTGCTGTGTAATAAATCATAACTCTATATTCCTCCAGAATGACAGCTGCACAAAAATGAAAAGATCATTAGAACATTACTGAGTATGGATCAGCTTTGCTTTGATGTTGGAGAGGCACTGATCCCTCAGGGTCACTCAAAAAGTATAACACAGCTACAGTAGAACGTCAGTAGAAACATTTGCTTCATACAAAAACTGGGATAGGGGTTTGCCACACGTGAGTCTGTAGTTAAGAGTTTACCAGGTGCATCTAAAACTAGTTGTGTAGGTTTTCTCCTACCCATAGGTTCCTGGCCTTGGGGAATGTGGAGCCAAGCCAGACTGTGGTCCATTCTCACAGCCATGCACTATGGCTGGGGCTGAACTCACCTCATAAAGGGTCCCCTTTTCCTCCTCACAAAAAGAGCAGAGCCTGTGCTTTATAAGTTTCATCACATCATTAGAGATAGATGAAGCCCATGACAGCAGAGGGATAGTACTGAAAAATATATTCAAATACATTTTTCTGGACCTATGACACAGAAAACTTGGCTGGTTCTATGGTCCATAGATTGTGGAGTTGGTCAGAGTATATCCCAAACCCTCAGAATGTCAGGGTAATATTATCTAAAATAATTTAAGGTAAAATTAATGTCTTCACTAGTTATCTTTTTATAATTCCATAATTTATTTACTTATCTATTTATTTATTCACTTGCTCTCACTTTTGCTTCATGGGTGTAAATGTCCTAAACTAGAGAGGAATCCAAAGATATGTTACTCCTAGCCCCTATACTGCTCCTTTGTAGTCTTTTTACAGTAATTCCAATTGATTATTTATTAATCTCTTTGCTAAATTTTGTCTGCTGGTGCACCCCATAGTGCCTGGGATTTACCCTCTGGTCTAACGTTGCATACCCATTGCCAGGTACAGATAGGCCTGCTGCCTTGCCACTTCTTACTCACCACTTACTTCATAGTTAACTTACTCTGTCCCTTAAGGAATTTAAGATTAGACAGAGGGAGTGCTAGAAACATGCACATACATGTAATAAAGATGCATTATGAAAAGCTCCATGAGGGTAAATCAAAATGCAGTGGGGTTAGAAGGACTTCTGCTGTAATAACTTCGGTGACTCTGAAATATGACTAATGACATTGCAGTAGGAACAGGTCTTGAGAGGTAACTCTTGCTACACGGGATGTGTTTTAACTTTGAGTAGAACCTATTAAATTGGATACTTCCAGATATTTAGAATAAAAAATTGTTGTATTACTCCAACAAAATTGTGACTTTACAAGAGGGACTCCTGCTGTGGCCACTTACATCATAGAGGTGATTATTTTTAATTTACCCATTATCTTGACTAACTAAAACTGCAAGACTGGTCGAGATGGAATTTTAATAAGTAATATGAACTAGATAAAAATACGAAGAAGAGAAATTACAGTTAGTGTTTCTTAAGTATAAGATCATTTGTATCCTGTGAGTAGGAAATACTGAGAAAAGTGCAAAGCCCTTGCCTGAGGAAAAAGTAAAAATTAAAACAAAAGCTCTCTCTTCAGGAGAATGATGCTTTGATTTCCACCTCGGGTCTCCCCTGCTAGAGATCACAGTTCAGAGCAGGGAGCAATTTCTCTGAGTTGAGATTCATGAGTGACTTTCGTTTGAATTGGGCCTTGAAGGCTGAGGCAGTACTCTGGGATAAGGAGGGGCATACCAGGAAGATTCAATGTCATGGGCGATGAGAGAATGGGAGGAAATTGCAGGGCATGTTTGCAAAGGTTACTCTTCTGGTTTGGCTTAGCACTAGTTTTGTGGAGTTGATAGGTGGGCAGAAAGGATAGAAACCATCAGCTGGGACCAGATCAGAGGGAGCATTGAAAAGCAAGCTAAAAAGTTTGAACTTCATTCTGGAGGCTCTGGGGAGTCTTTGAAGTCTTGAGGAGAGGGTATAACTTGCCTAAATCCACGTGGTCAGTTTGGAGGCTGTGTTTGTGTGATTCCCAGGCAAATATTGTTGTCTTTTTTCTTTTCTATTCTTTTCTCCTCCTCCTTCCCTCATTCTCTTTTTCCACTCTAATGACTTAATGCTCCCATCACTCTCAGTTTCCTGGTTGTTTTTGATGCCAACCAGATACTTGGGAGCATTCCACTGCTACACAAAAACCACCCAGTAAGTAGATGTGTGCCACTGATACATCCTCTCTCCCACATTTTCCTCATTGTAAACAAAATGTATGGACCGGGTGAATCTGAGGCCCCTTTCAATTCTAAAATACTCCATTTAAGTTCTCTTCTCGCAGAATGAACTCTTTTGGAAATTGATAGTTTATGATTTGGACTTAAGTGCATTCTTACTTCCTTATATGGGGATCTGTGATCAATATTTGATTGTCTTGGCCCAGTCTACATCTGAAACCATACAGGAGAAGGGCTAAGGGAAGAAGATGCAGAGGCCATCACTCTGCTTCTTAGTGGATGTGCCACTTTGTTCCTTAGAATGAACTCATTTGGTTGGGGTCCTGGTCTCATCAGTCCTGCTTCACTTTTGATTGTTTCAGAAGTTGTGCCTTTGACTCTAAATATCAAGACTAAGACATCAGTCATATGTTCTCTGCTATTGACGTAGTTGCTTTCATCAAATCATTTATTAATGGTAATTTCACCAGGTGATTGTTGCTCAGGTGGAGGAAAATTGCTACATAAAAATTTTTAAAGGTTGACTTAAAATTTATCTGTTATACTCATTCATAATATTATCAGGTTACTAATTGGTCTTATTTTGTTTTCTCAATCTAGGTATTAGAAAGCAAGTCCAGCTTCCAATGGATAAATCAGTGCCTGGTGTTCAGAAGTGAGAAAAAAATAGATTAGCTTCAGTAGGATTAACATATTTTGAAAAAGAGAACAGAAAACAAGAAAGGAGTTTTTGTTTGGACTATTTTACAGCAAAGCACATAACTGGATTTTGAACAATTAAATCAGCACTATTTGGGAAGTTTTTAGTATTTAGTCACATTGTGAATTAACAACAGTATTTCAATTCTGTAGTTATATACTTGGTTCTTTCAAATAAATCCCAACTTCGTATACTTCTTTTGAAATTATAGTATAAAAGAGAAAATAGTATTTTAATGAATGAACCAAAATTACTTTGAACTGATTATTTTCTAAAGTGTTGAGACTTCTGTGAAACATAATAATAATGGGATTATATGTCTTAGGATAAATTAATTTAGAAATGCTCCTACAGTTTAAATAGATATGCACACATTTGGTGCTGTGGAAAGAACAAATATTATTGGTGTCAAGAAAAATTATTTAGCAAAGAAATGTCAATATATGTATTCAGATAGTTATATCCCTATATAAAAATTATGTTTACATTTTCTAAATTAGCAGATACTTTCTTTCTGTGAAGTGCACAGTTTCATTTTCACTTGAGGCAACTTTTATTTGGAAGGAATTAGGTAATTGAGCTGTCCAATTCTTGTCTGATATTTGTTGATGCTCCCCTGTACTCTTACTTTTTCTATAAGCAGAGACATTTCATGTGACATTCTTGAAATTATCATTCTGGGAACCAGTACACATAGGACAACTTTGTAACTGGGAAGTGTTTCCGGGATGTGATACATTCAGAAATAATATTCATTTAAGCATGTTGAAGTGTTAGCCAAAAAACTTCCTTGAAGACATAAAAATCAGAAGAAAACACCAAAACCACAGTCTCTCAAATAGTTAAAAGATAATGAAAAACATGTTAAGATCTTCAACTCTCCTATATTTTTTAACAGTTCAGCTATTAAAAAGGATGCTAAGAATCTTTAATTATCCACAATAGATAACAATAGTACGGGCAGAATACAGGAATTATCATTCCAGGATATTCAGGAACTGGTCATACGTGTTTTTGTGTGCGTGTGTTTTTACATATAGTCCAAATTAGCAAGGTACATACTACAGAGTGTTGCATATATGAGGGATTGATGAATAAGAGAAGAAAGTACTTTGTGTAAAACCAAGGATTGTACTCCAGACTGAGACAGCTGTGATTTTGTTTTAAACTGTGAAACTATGTGCAACAACAGAATTTGGAAAATCTTTTCTTAAACTCAAAGATGCAGAAAGAAATCAAACTAGACTCTTAATTTAGTGGTGCTTAGGCAGAAGTTTTCCCATATTTAATTAGTATTGAATCTCAAGCAGGGTATTTGCGGTGCCAGAACACATTAGGTAAAATTTTAAAAGTGAGTTGGCATCCTGTCTTATATGTCAGAGATCTGTAAAGTCATCACCAATTACTAGTAATAATTTTGCACTTACTGGGTGCACAGCATGATAAAAGGACAAGAGATGATCAAGAGATAATCATCAAAGGATAGATGGAATGGTACACAAGGTCCTTATCTGCCTGCACACACTTACCAATAAATATAGATGGAACTTTCACTGAGCTAGTATCTGAGCTATGTGATACCTTCTTTGCCTTAAACTGCTTTTTAGTCTAAGATTGTAGAATGACTCTTTCAAATTGTATCCTTTTCTAATAGAGATATTTTAATATACTTGCTTAAAAAAAACTACTGTCAGTATTAATACTGAGCCAGACTGCTGGCATCTATAGATTTAGTATCTATTGTCTCATAAAATTTTTTACCCCTGCATCAAAAATTAAGACTGTTATGAAGGCCTTTGGATAGATAAGAGAAAATGCATCTATAAAAATCTCAATAAGGTCTTTTATCTGTCTATCCATTCATCATCATTTGAAAACCTAATATAAACCAAGCACTCACGTGCTAGGCATTGGGACACATACAACATTGTCTCCAACCTCAATAAGTATGAAAAATGTCATTATTACTCATTAGGTTCATCTTATTTTAACAACTAAAAGTACACGGCCATATTTATAAAAATAAAAGTTAATAATTATATGCACATATGTATTTTTAATAATTAAAAAAATTCAAATCCCTGAAATATTTATTAAATATAACATTTACTATTTGGATGATTTTGCAAAAAATTTTTTCAATTGGAAGCTAGAGATTCTTGTTTATTCTTTCTGGGAACATTCCTTCCCTTACCATCATCCTTAAACACTTACAAAAACTTGTGTTAACACTCAATAGTTTTGAACCTTAAGAGGTCTTTTCTCTGAATAAATGTCAAAATTCACAGATAATGATTAGCAGGTGAAGGTTATCATTTAATAAAAGAGAGAACACAATTCAGTCTTACCAAACTAAGAGAGGCTGTGGAAACAATACAAAGAACATTGAGTACTGAGAAGAGACTAGCTTTTACACTATAAGGGCTGCAAATAAGTGGAAAATAATTTAATAAGCTCACTATCTGCCACATTAGTGGTTTTGTAATTACTCAGACCACAGTCTGGCTTAAAGCTATTTTGGCCTTCGAGACTAGGAGTCAGTCTCTCAACAGTACTATAAGATCTATGAATATGCAATTTGCCTATTTCCAGAAATCTTTATATTTTTATATGGTAATTTTATTTACAATTTATCTAATTATTCACTAGGAATTATTTGTAATAATGATTTTTGCTCTTTGAAATCTCACAAATAGTTCATTTATAAACATTCCAAATGCTCAAATTTTAGAGAAAACACAGTACTAAGATTTTCCTGATACTGAGAGATAATTTTTAGGAGATTGAAATCCTGATCTTAAGATATATTTTTTTTTAATTTTGCTTTGAAACTAACAGTATGTTAAAGGATTAAAAGTACCTTTTTCTGTATTGTTTTTTGATTTATATTCACAATCAATATATTTAATCAATAGATTGTTTCATTCCCAGGTACTCAAAGTTCTGGGCCACTTTTGAAAGCAAAGTATTGCATTTGTCCTTCAAGCTAAAATGGTGCTGAATTATTTAAACTTGAATGTAAAATGCATTAAGTGTTAGCTCATGGGAGACAAACATTTAATTAATATATATAACTACTTGCTAAAAACTAAGCAACATGTCATTTGGTAGTATGTTTTTAAGGCGATTTTACTTTCTCCCAAATATTTCTGTAATCCTATTTGTAAAACAATTGTAACTTTTTTGAAGAGCTTTTATTTTTCTTGTCTGCATTTTCATATTCATTTATCATTTTACTATTTCATATTCTTTTATTATATGACTATACTATAATTGCAAGATTATATAAAAATACCGTGAATAAATGATTTCAAGTGTGTATAGTGGTCATTTGTTTTTACATATAAATAAATGATCTGAATTTCATTTTCTGTTAAAGCATTAAAGCTATATATATGGTTGCTTGTCTCAACTGCCTTTTGTATTAACAAATTGTTTAATAACAACGTGATTTGGAGCTTGTCTAGGATGAATACATATCTAGGTGATATTTTAAAGTATATACAATCATGTGAATCACACATATATGAAGTGTAACTTGTCCCCATTACTAGCTACTTCTAAGGACACAATGGATAATGAAAAAATAATCCTTTGAATAGCATTTACAAAGAATACATTCGGATATACACACATTTGCTTAAGGGCTGCAAGTTATTTGTATAAACAGAAACATTTCTATCATAGTACTTATTTAAACTTCCACCAGTTTAGCCTGAATGCTGGTAACCCCAGGAGAGCAAACAGATACCAAACTTTAGAAATAATTAATGAACCGAATCTACATGAACAATTCACCCTTAAGGAGTCCCTTCAGCTAAAACGAAATGTAGACTGTGGCTTGAAATTTGCAAATTTGACTTGTAGAACATCCGCGTTGTTGGAAACCACTAACTTCTGGCTTTCCTTGCCTACTCAAGGCAGAATATCTGAATATGCTTTTGTTACTAATGAGAAAAGATGATTTCTTTTGTCTTGTAAGTGTTCAATGTTTCAAGCAGTGTTCCTTTTTAGCTCATTAACCAGAGACAGAGATCGTCAGATCTTACCTTTTTGTCAGAAAATTTGTCTGCTTTTGTGTTATTAATTTATCTATATGGTATTTCTAATCCTTGCTATAGATATTAATAGAAAATTAACATTTACGTTGAATAAGTCGCTTTCATCATAGAGATTTTCAGCTTAAATTTATAGCATTTGTACCCTTTTTTAAATTGGAATGAGTAAAATAGCATTTGTATACTATTGGAAAATATTGAGCTCCAAAAGCATGTAATTCCTTTCTGTATCTGTGAAGGGTTTGTTTCAGGACCTTCCTTGGATATCAAATTGCAGATGGACACTCAAATCTCATATAAAATGACATATTATTTGCATATAACTTACACCATTTTGTATAATCAAAATCATCTCTAGATAACTTACACAGCATACCTTGTTTTGTCCCTCATGTCATTGCCCTTCACAGACAATGCATTTTTTACAAATTGAAAGTTTATGGTGACCCTGTATTGAGCATCTATGTCAGCACCATCTTTCAAACATTTATGTACTTTGTGTCTCTGAGTTGAGTCACATATTAGTAATTCTCACAATATTCCACATTTTTTCAGTATTATATCTGTGATCAGTGATCTTTGATGTACTACTGTTTTGGGGCTTCGTGACCTATATCCATGCAAGATAGAAAACTTGTATGTTCTGAATGCTGCACCAACCAACCATTTCTCCATTTCTTTCCCTCTTCTTGGGCTTCTCTATTCCCTGAGACACAATGATAGTGAAATTGGGCCAATTAATAACCCTACCATAGCCTCATAAGTGTTCAAGTGAAGAGTCCTATGTCAGTTGCTATCAAAAGCTAGAAATGCTTAAGCTTGGTGAGGAATGCACATGGAAAGCTGAGATAGGCCAAAAAACTAGATCTCGTTGTGCCAAACAGCCAAGTTGTGAAAAGTTCCTGAAGGAAATTAAAAGTGCTACTCTAGTAAGTGCATGGATAAAAATAAAAAAAATTGAAACATCCTTCTTATTGATCTGGAGAACATCTGAGTGACCTGCAAAGAAGATAAAATGAATCACAACACACCCTTAAACCAAACCTGAATCCAGAACAAGCCCTTAACGCTCTTCATTTCACTAAGGCTGGAGAGAGGTGAGAAGGCTGCAAGACCAGAAAATATCTGACACTTTATTTCCAGGTTTCAGGTAAGATGATGGAATAGAAGTAGCTTTTGTATTACTGTGCAAGGAAGAAGAGTTAAAGCAACAACGAAGGGACTATATTCCAAAGAGAGAGAGAGAGGAAGAGCTCCAGGAATCAAGAAAAAAGAGATCAGAAAACTAAGCACAGAGAAGCAGAAAGCTATTGAGAGAAAAGTATGAAGTAGTCTGCAACATCAAGCAACTTCCCAGGGAGGAGAGAACCCAATCTGCAAGCAGAAGTTAAGCCTGGAGAGGACCAGCAGCTCTAGGATAAATAGACTAGTAGACAGAAATCCGTGGGTGTTGCATAAGTCCTGCAGGGAGATTTGGTCTGAAAGTGACTTCTCTGAAAGTGACCTGGCAGAGTAACTTTGAAGACGAAATCACTGCTGCACTTACCCATATGTTGGAGTTTATCACCAGGAGCCGTGTTGAGATGAAGCTTATTGTTTAGGACTGAGCTGCTCTGAAGATTGAAAATCATGGAACACCCACAACTTAGAATCCCTTGGAAACCCTACTGCAGTGACTCAGTGAGAAACAGCCACTCAAGGCAGCTGTGGAGAAGAGGGGGGTCAGTCAGATTCATGGATTTTAAACAACAGGGAGCCTAGACAGGGTGGTTAGTGGCACCACCCTCTGTGGTGACAAGTGAAACCAATCATATATGGTTTTTTGAGGGGGCTGAGTCTCAAAGCATTAGGATCAAGCCCAACAGATTGCTTAGTTCCAACAGCTGCTCTTCTTCAGCACAGAGGTCAGAGGTCTGCTTGCTTAGCCCACTTTCCAATGGACAGCTCTGCTTATGCATTTGCTATGTGTGCTTCTAGTTGCATTGGGTGAGGGCCGATGAAGGGAGTGGAACCCTGAACAGGCCAACATGCCATGGAGGTAATGGAGCTGGCAGTAACTGTGAGGGTACAGAAAAAACAAAAAAAAACAACAAAAAACAAAAAACAACCTCTGGAGTGAATGCAGATGTTACACCATCAACCACAGCCTGCCTAGAAATACAGGCCAGAAGGCAGCATTCCAGAAACATCAACCTGGTTGATGGGAACAAAGGTGAAATACAACAGGCCTCCAATGCAATTCCTTACCTCCCCTCCACACCTGGTAAATTCTAATATTAGAGGTGTTGGAACAGAACACTTCAGCATGGAGGAATATTCTGGACTCGCTTTTCTTTTTCCATTTTTTTGAGTTTTATTTACATTTTCAGTACTCTTTTAATTGAAATTTAAAGTCTACTGCTCCTTTTTCTTTCCCATCTCTTTTGGCCTTTTAAAAATTATTATGTTTCCTTTTTTTGTTTGTTCTTTTCCCCACAACTTTCACTTTTATTACTTTATTAATATTTTTACCTTTATTAATTTTTAGTATTTCAGTTTACTCTGTATTGTCTTTGTCCTTCTATTATTATTGATGTTGTTGGTTTTAATTGGTTGCTACTACACTTACATGTCTGGTTTGTCTTTGTGTGGTCACTGTTACCACAGTTCATCATTTCCTATCTGAGAAATACTATGGATCAAATCCTCAAGAGAAGCTGCTCTCTAAAAAGACCCTTATATCAAAGTGAAAGAGATACCTATCTCAAAACTTTTACATAGCTTTCAATGATAGCCCTGAATATAAATGGTCCAAAATTTCCAATTAAAACATGCACGCTAGCTTATTGGTTGTAAAATATCAAAATCGAATTGTTTGCTGTTTGTAACAGCCTCTTCTAAAACGTAAAGACATACACAGCCTGAAATTAAAAGAATGGAAAATGACAATCCAATCAAATGGATTCCAAAAGCAGCCAAAGTAAATAATCCATATCTGACAAAATAAACTCCAAGCCAAATTTGGTCAGAAACGAAAACTAAGGTCACTAAATGTTGGTAAAGAAAAAAATTCATCAAAAAGATACAACAATTATAAATATATATGCACCAAACTTCAGGGCATCCAACTTTATACAAAGAATATTACAGGACATAAATACCACAAGAATAGTGGGTGACTTTCTTTAATAACTCCCTCTCACCAATAGATCTTCCAGACAAAAGTCAGCATCGGAGTTAAATTACACCATACATCAAATGGACTTAACATCCATCTGCAGAGTGTTTCATTCAATAGCTGCAGAATACACATTCTTTTCATCAGCTAATGGAACTTTCTACAATGTAGATCATATTTTACATAAAAACAAATCTTAACAAATAATAAAAGTAATTTTATGAATCTTACCAGACCATAACAGAATAAACCTAGAAATCAAAAGCAAGACAAACTACAGAAAACACAAACACATGGATATTGAAAAATACACTTTGGATCATTGAAGAAACCAAGGAAGAAATTAAAAATATCTCTACAATTAAATAAAAATGGAAACAAAACCTACTAGAATGTATGTGTCACAGCAAAAGCAGATATAAGAAGTTTACAGCTATAAGAAAAATAGATCTCAAATAACATTTATATTTTGAGGGCTTAGAAAATCAAGAAAAAACAAACCCAAAGACAGTAAAAGGAAAAAAAATAAAAAGAGGAAATAAGTGGAAAAAAAACCCCTAAAAGAACAACAAAGTATCAATGAAACAGATCTTTGAAAAGAAAAACAGAATAACAGTTTTAGCTAAACTACTTCAAAGAAAAAGAGAAGAGCCAAGTATATAAAGTTAGGAAGAAGGGGTACTACAACAGACACTACTGAAATGTCATTAGAGGATATTATGAAAATGTCAATAAACTAGAATAAGGTAGAAGAAATAAAAGAAAAATAATAAGAATAATAATAAAAAGAATAATAATAAGAAGAAAATAATAAGAAGAATAAGAAGAAATAGACAAATTTCTAGGCACATATGATGTACCAAAATTGAACCAAGATGATATAAAAAATCTTCTGAAAAATCAACGTGGTTGATGCAGTAAAAAAGTTTCCCAACAAAGAATAGCGTCAGATAGAATGCATGTTCTGCTGAATTTTACCAGATTTTAAAGAAGAGTCAAAACCAATGCTCCATTCCAAGTAATTCTATGGAACCAGTATTACTCTGCTACCAAAACCTGACAAGGATAAAACAACAATAAGAGAAAAAGAGAAAATTGAAGAAG